TACCTGTGTATCGCTAATTATAAACCGAATGTGTGAAGACAGTTCATACATATCACTCAAAAATTTTTCAGTACAAACTCAGTTGATTCACGCTCGATTTGCTACTAAACAAACCCATCGGTTTATTTTCTCAACAGTGTGACCCGAAGTGACCGCGGATTTATTGACCTTGTATGAACTTATCCATAGCTATATCCTTACACCGAGAGAAATTATCTAGTCTCGGTGAAAAGAACCATGGTCATCTGGTAGAAAATTACTTTTGTATTTTTTGGAACGGAAAACAGTGTTTTTAGAAGCAAACTAACCTGCCGCACATGAGGAAGTCATTATACTAATAATAAAAGGCGAGACCTCTTTTTGCGGCGCAGGCTTATCACTGAGTAGTAAACCGTCCACAAACAATAATATAGGAAGCCTAGTAGTGACGAGTGTAGTAAGTAGGCTATAGACTATAGGTTTGAGTCGAGATTACTCGCTTTCAGTTTACTCTGTTTTTGCGATAACCAATTATGTGAGAAATACCATACTGACATTCGGTTTTTAAAAGTTGTACGCCAACTAAATGCGTTTGTTAGATACTGACAGAGCAGCCCCGAGTCGAACAATCGCCGCCCGAGCTGTCTTCGGCAGCTAGTTTCACAATATCGTGCAATAGGTGTATTAATGTGATTTTTAGGTTTAACCCCGCAAACAATGCCAAAATAGTGTTTTCACTGCTTACAGAAAACTGAAATTTAAAAAAAAATTTTTTTATGAGGGTGACCCTCCCACACACTCCCTATCGAGCTGCCGCTCGGTCTGCGCAGCCTCATGCCTGGCACATACTGTCAACATTGTATATTTTTCCGTTTCCGCCCTTCTCCCCCACAATATATATTTCACGGCTACGTTGCGACGGTACCAGCATACCCAGTTGTTGACACCCATTACATCACTCCTGTCTAACAAATCATAAAGCTGTGGTGTTACGGTGGCGGCATAGTATTTCACCGTAACACCACAGCCACTCTAACCATTCATAATACATCTAACTATCCCTTTACAGCACTTCACTCCCTACACATTTCCCCTCGTCCTACTTTCCCAAACGTCAACAACACATCTCATACATCCAGTTCGCTGATTAACCCTTGTACCACGTCTACTGGATGACCTGGCGCCTGGTACGTTCGGGCATTTTTATGCGCGAACTCTTAGGGTTTTTTTTACTGGCATGCGCACAGGTACTATTTCTTTTTCTTTTAACAAGTACCCAAATCGGGGATTTCGTGCGGAGGTAGTTCGGAGGTAAACAGTCTGTGAAGTACAACACTTGCCACTGTACCTGTGTATCGCTAATTATAAACCGAATGTGTGAAGACAGTTCATACATATCACTCAAAAATTTTTCAGTACAAACTCAGTTGATTCACGCTCGATTTGCTACTAAACAAACCCATCGGTTTATTTTCTCAACAGTGTGACCCGCGGATTTATTGACCTTGTATGAACTTATCCATAGCTATATCCTTACACCGAGAGAAATTATCTAGTCTCGGTGAAAAGAACCATGGTCATCTGGTAGAAAATTACTTTTGTATTTTTTGGAACGGAAAACAGTGTTTTTAGAAGCAAACTAACCTGCCGCACACGAGGAAGTCATTATACTAATAATAAAAGGCGTGACCTCTTTTTGCGGCGCAGGCTTATCACTGAGTAGTAAACCGTCCACAAACAAGAGTCGAGATTACTCGCTTTCAGTTGACTCTGTTTTTGCGATAACCAATTATGTGAGAAATATCATACTGACATTCGGTTTTTAAAAGTTGTACGCGAACTAAATGCGTTTGTTAGATACTGACAGAGCAGCCCCGAGTCGAACAATCGCCGCCCGAGCTGTCTTCGTCAGCTAGTTTCACAATATCGTGCAATAGGTGTATTAATGTGATTTTTAGGTTTAACCCCGCAAACAATGCCAAAATAGTGTTTTCACTGCTTACAGAAAACTAAAATTTAAAAAAAATTTTTTTTATGAGGGTGACCCTCCCACACACTCCCTATCGAGCTGCCGCTCGGTCTGCGCAGCCTCATGCCTGGCACATACTGTCAACATTGTATATTTTTCCGTTTTCGCCCTTCCCCCCACAATATATATTTCACGGTATACCAGCATACCCAGTTGTTGACACCCATTACATCACTCCTGTCTAACAAATCATAAAGCTGTGGTGTTACGGTGGCGGCATAGTATTTCACCGTAACACCACAGCCACTCTAACCATTAATAATACATCTAACTATCCCTTTACAGCACTTCACTCCCTACACATTTCCCCTCGTCCTACTTTCCCAAACGTCAACAACACATCTCATACATCCAGTTCGCTGATGAACCCTTGTACCACGTCTACTGGATTATACAATATAGAGAAGAGTACATGTACATATCAATAGATTATATACTACATGATTATATACTATAAAAGAGAATACATTTACGTAATAATATATTACAAAATAAAGTACATGTTTGTACTAACATACTATAACATAGCAGTGGTATATCTTATTACAGTTTACACATTAGCCACCCGTATGGGTACTAATGGGATGTGTTTCGTTTTCTGGATTAGGAGAGAGAGAGAAATGGGGTTTAACGTCCACTCGACACAAACTAGGTCATTTCGGGACTAACATATGGTTTTATTTTAATTATATAATTCGCTTGCGCGTAGGGGTCTTTAGCAGTGGGAGGAAACCGGAGGACCCGGAGAAAACCCACGAGGTTGAACAGGCGACCCTACTCCTTGTCACGTACAACCGGAGAATCGAAACCACGCCAGTCGACTCAATGACAGACATTATGATACCAGGGCTGCCGACAACCAGTATCGCAGCGCAATTTGCGATACATATTTTGTCCGTTGCTAATCAAAAATTAAAATCTAACGTTTTTGATTCGCAGTAACTGCGAATCATTAATATGCCTGTCATTTTGGATATTGACACAAGGATAATCCACTTTCAACGTGTATAAAATGCCGAATAAAATTTTATAAACAAAACTGAATTCTCCGTGTGACATTTTCTTCTCGAACTACCCAGACACAATTCATTATACTACATGTATATAATAAAGGGACATAACTCTATGAATAGCGACTATTAAACCGGAAATAGGGAATCAAGTAGTACCACTCACGTTGCGGGACATGTCAATTTCAAGTAATTATATCAGAAAACATTTTGAAAGAAATAAATCCAGTGTATGCCCGCGTATTGTAAATAAAATTTATAAAAATAAATACATCTTAACGTATTGTAACATGATAAATCAAAGTAAGAATTCCCGTAAAATATTATTGTTCATATCGCGTGTGTCTAGACTAGTTAATAATAATAAAGGTGCGCGCGATTGAACCAAAATAGTAATACACGATAAAAAGCTGACGAAATTGTTTTCTAAAGAAGATTTCTAACGTAACAAAGAAATAACAATTAAAATGAGTAGGGCTTCGGAAGTCACTGCCAAGATTTGGCTTCAGACATTCACATTCACAAACTGTCACAACTACATGTGGCAGTGCTAAAAAAAATCTAAGAATGAAATCTAATCATCATATTTGTTATGAATTAAAGTAATTTCTTGTTATTTAGGTGTTTTATGTTGAAACTGAAAAACTGCTAATCAATTTTTAAATTTGCTAATCAAATTTGGCGAAATTGGACTTTTTGATTAGCAGTGCTGTGAAAAATTACCTACAGCCCTGTATGATACAGCGCGCGCACGCTAACCATTCAGTCATCCACCCCCCCCCCCTTCTGGATTAGGCCTAGTAGACGTTAAGTTTACCACCAAGAAGCTTCGATATGATATAATGAACCTATAATGTTTAAATACTGTTTATTTGTAGACAAACACCACGTTTAACTCATGTTTCTGCTGTTTAATATTCTGGCGATACAAGCTTTTGTGAATTAAAGCTTGATGTAATGAGTATTTACATCGTATGGGTGAATTTAAGTTTTAAACTGTGACTTCAGTTCCGTATTTTTGTTCCCGTTGGCCTTTTGAAATATTAAAGTGTAATGGGTGCGAGGCCACTCAAAATAAGTATTACGTCATATGGTCATAATACAAAAGAGCTTTCTTAGAAAAAATAAGACAGAATAACACTAGTATCAAAAAGACACTTACTCATACAGCCCAAAACATGACGAAGTGTGAGGGAGTATCGCTGGTAGCACTTCGTTTGATTTCAGGAAACCGCTTTTCATTTGATTTCAAGAGCTCAGCTGTTTATAGTGTACACCGGCCTGGTTGAACATCTCGAATTAAGTAATTACATAATGTAAATGTTTAACTCGACATGTAGATCTTGAAATTGGTCTTTTATCTTTAATATATTCTGTATGTTTACATAATTTGCTCGTGACATTAAAGCTGATTCACGTGTGTCAGCAGAACACTTGTTGCTATTTTTGCATTCGTTTCGTATTTTCAAACATTTGGTGTTTATATTTGGAAAGCCGTTCCCAACTCCAAACGAACTAGGTGATTTCAATATGTTATCATATGCTAAATATACAGTTATATCCGGCGAGATTATTTTATATATATCTGATATAATAATTAACGTGCAATAGCCACGGCTCATTTGGCGCCATATAAGCACGATTCCGCGATACATACCACCTTGATGTGTTGAAAATATTGGGGCATTCTTCAATCCAGAAGGTAACACAGTTATAGTATATAGGCGTGTCTAAATTTGTTCTACGTAATATATTCTTTCCCTTTGACCGATGTCATTGTTCTAGTTCAAGCACCAGTACATTGCTGTACGTAAATGATAAAAAGTTTAAACGCAGCGCTAAACCTTTGCTATCCGGAAAAGTTGCCAACAAGCGGTTGGGTAAAAGAGGGCAGTCTTACAGTTAGGTCTTGTATTATCTATGACAAGTGATTCTTCTGGGAACTTACAATATAGATTTGAGAGAATGTCTTTGAAGTTTGAGTGAACAATTTGTCAGACCACAGAGAGACGTGTAGACAAATCACCGGGATATAGACGCGAGGCTGATAATGTAAGAAGTAACCCCCGCTGGCATAAAGCCGCTGTAGTAATTGGTTACATACTCTGAAACCTGGTTGTACACACTACAGCTTGGATCCGGAAACTACAGACGCTTCAGTCGTGAGTGTGTAAGGTGGTTCTTATCACTCTTAAATACACAACAATAATACTATCCACGAGTAGCATACAAAAGACATAAAAACCAACACCAAACAGAAACCCGTGCTACATTGTAATTTATTCAACGCGTTGCTTCAGCCTCTACCACCCAGTCTTGGTGTTCCAATCAAGTTTATTCCACTATTCAGTGCTATACAGGGGTGTACGATAAGGGTTCGCGGCTAAAGCAATTGGAACCTTTATAGATCATGTTTCTGGGAAAACAATAGAAAGAGGAAGTAGCCAGTTCGTCTAGTCTTAACTTGGATTTTTAAAGAAATGTTCCATTCGATAGAAGTCTGATTGTTGAATACTCGTGTTAAGTTTGTAAGATTACCCCGAGGGAAAGAGATAGGATATTTATTGTTCGTTTCGTATATATTGTCTTTTCTACGTTAAAACAACCACGTGTTCTGTATGGATGAACCTTAGAGAGTACATGCGTGATAGTTTTAACGTGGCTGAAAACATGTGTAGGACACAGACTAAAACAGGAACACGTTAAGGATAACCGTTAAACACAACCAAGGGATATTGGTAATGTGTGTATATCATTTCAATTCATAACAAATAACGGATTTTTATTTGTAATTAATTAGGTGAGTTCTATTCTTGTGACGTCTCTTAATAGTCTTTTCTCTTGAGAACCTCTATAATTAAATGTCATCTGTTATTTATTTGGAGGGTGTACGCCAATAGCTCTGATTAATATTATATTAATGTTTTATATTAATTTTTACTGATATTAACGTTTTTATCTGTTAGATATTGGGTTTATCTTCTTGTTTTAATTTCTTATGCTTAATTGTGATTTGGTATTCATTTGGATGGTGTACACCAATAGCTCTGATTAATGTTAAAAACTAATATGTTTTATATTAATTTATACTGACATTAATGGGTTTATTAATGTTAGATATTAGGTTTAGCTTTTTATTTTAATTTCTTATGCTTATCTGATATTTTTATTGTCGATCGTCGGTGTACCTGAATTTCGTAGAGGGGGTAGGGGGCGCTTTAGATCATCAAATAAAGTGGTTGCGATCCAATGCGTGTACAGTACAAGGAGTTGGGTCGCCATACTAAACTTGTGGAATTTCCCCGGGTCCCCTGATGTCTCCCAAATCCCCCATATGTGTAAGCGAGGTATTGACATAAAATTGTATCATAGTTAGTCCCAAATACCACCTACTGAGTGGACGTTGAGTTCTTCGAAGTGTCTTCCTTGGGTTCCATTTTTCGTTGTCGAATTTCGATGCAATACTCGAGTTTTTTTTTCTTTTATTGGGCACTAGTGAATGATGTCTCTTAATTGGATTGTATTGACAATTAGATGATTGTTTTCTTGACATAATTATTAGACTGAAAAAGTGTTTCTAAAAATATCCACATTCTTATGTTTGGTGTCCATTTATTTTAAACATTCTCAATAAGTGATGGTGTCAAAATAAAATGTTAAAAATGAATGTACAATGTTAGTGATTTGAAAATCAACATTTTATTTTCATGCAAAGGCTTTGTATTGCTGAAAAAATGTGAAACCGCCCACACTGTCGAGTCGTTGAGTAGGGCGCGACAACAAAATATAGTTATTTCATTTTGTAAAAATGTCACAACGCAACAGGTAGTTGTATTCAAACTAGGTTTCTAGATCCGGTAGCGACCGTTCACAGAAACAGTTTCAGGAACATTCTATGACCATGTGGCAAACAAGAATGAAAATTCAGATCGAGACCAAAAATTGTAGATTTCAAGTGAAAACACCTGGTCCCTCCCACAACCCTACTACATATCCGACATGCTAACAATTATTTCCGCGGTCAAAGGTTATATATCACGCTGTCGTGTCCTTGTGCGAAGTTGATAATAACAGCGTGTTTTGTTGAAACACAGTATATTTGAAGAATGCGGTGCAGGACCTGCTCTTGCATGACATATGGACTGCAAGAACATGTGTTTTCAATATTGTACTAATGCTATTTCGCAATTTATAATTTTCTCACAAACTATGTATGTCTTTCGGAATGGCTATGTATAGCCCCAAACGCTTTGAGTATTCCGTCATTGCAATATCTGGGCAGTGACTGGCTTGGGTATATTAAGAAAAGATTAAATCGTGTTATGTGAAGGTATTACATATATACTAATATTATTTCACAATTTCCCATTTTCTCATAAACTGTGTTGCTACTTTTTGTTTTATTTAAGAAGTGATCTTAAATGAGCTAAACCTATAACTCAATAATATCCATAAAACTCGAAATTAAAAATCCGAATTAGAATTCAATATTGGTTTATTTTCTTTCATATTAGTGTTTTTAACTTACCGTGAAAATACTGGATCCTAATATCCAATTTTTAAGAGACAATGGACATTTTAAAATCAGTATTATACTAGCCGTGTACTCTATTGACATAATATTTGTAGCACCATTGGTAATGAACAATGATTAACATATCCCAGAAGACAATGCGAAAGTAATTAAAAATGGCTGACTCATAAACGGCAAAATAATTTTTAAAAAAAAAACCAACCCGAAAAAACAACGAAGAATGCACTAAGCTGGTGCAAACGACTGTTGTTCAAGTTGAAGTGATCGCGTATTTAACCGAACAGAATATTACATTAACAATTTAAGAAGTGGTTGCCATGCAAGATACGCCCAGATTTTGCAAGAGATGGACAGAGAATAAGCTAAAAAGGTGTTTTTTTAATGAAAATCTGCGGCCATAATCAAGGATGTTACGGTCCGACATGCGGCAAGATCAAAAGGAACCAAGATATAAACATATATATGGTCTTCAAGCTACAACGTGATTTTTCGTAAAATCATGTGCCATAGTTCATAAAGTTACGGTCAGATTGCGCGAATATTAACGTACGAGGAGCCCAGTTTCGGTTTGATTTTCACGAAATTCAAACTCAACCGTCATTAGGGTGAAACGGTGATATATTTGAAAGGTTTCTAAAGTCGGAAAAAAAGTGATATCTAGTTGCTCCAGAAGCTAAAAATGCGATTTTTCGTACGATCAGTGGCTATAATCCAGAAAGTTACGGTCCGATATTCGCGAATTTCTAAAGGAACCGAGATCTTTGGGATATACATATACATATTAAGTTTCATCAAAATCAACAAGTTTTAATTAAAGGTCGTATAACTATTCTTTGGAACCTTGAATTAGAGAAAAAAACGGGCCTAAATTGTCAAAGGAAACACGAGATAAAATCAACAAGTTTTAATCAAAAGGCGTATAACCCTATTCTTTGGAACCTTAAATTAGTCAAAAACGATTCTAAAAGTACACATCGATGTAATATGAGATTATTTAAACTGATTTACATTCAATTTTTGTACGTCCACATTTTCATGTCGACGTATATTGTATTCACCCCAGTCTGCCCAGACGTTCCATATTGTGTTTGTAAACACTCTACAGGTCACAATTTTGATCCGATTTTGACGGTTTAATAATTAGACCCACATTTGTCTAATTTACGGTTCTAAAGAATAGAGCTATACGCCCTTTAATTAAATCTTGTTGATTTCATCTCCTGTTTCATTTGACAGTTGCAAATGTTGATCAGACTGGTTTTCAATAATGTCTCTTAAATATAGATGTTTTGATCTTAAAACTTTACACGCTTTTCTGTGTGGGTAAAATTGCACTTGGTCCAACTGTTTGCAAATTACACATCAGTTTATAGTTAGACGAGGTATTAACATGGAATTTGTAATCTCAATTTTAACAGCTAAGTGAATGATTATGAATGAATGAAAAATAGCACCCAGACTGCATGTAAACGATTCGATTAATCTTCTGCAGTACGCAAAGGTTATTAATTCGTTGTTATTTTGCCATCGCTTTATCTTTCATCTTTTGGCATCTTCAGACAATTTTCAATGGAAGTCTTGAGATTCTGGCGTGGTTCTAATGTTGGTTCCATTACGAACTGGTCATGATCAAAGAGGAACATGTCTTGAGCAGACATCACAATACATTTACTCTTCGGAGATTTATTGGCTTGTAAAAAGTTATTTTTAGTTGTTTCTCAACAATAATCGCCAGCTAATGAGTTCGTATTGGACGAAAATAACCACCATGAAAATACCAGACATGTATGATGGAAAACAAGAGTGGAGATGTTTATTTTATTATACACGATATCAGCTGCTATGCATATACTACAAACAACTATTAAGCAAATATTTTACATGCAGACTACATAATTGGTTTATTCGTACAAATTCTTATCAGCAATTTTAGCAATTTTTTATTTAATACTTTGGCACATTTACGCATTGGCGGAGGTAGTATATATGGTTATTGGGTGCCCTGGAGGTAGGGATGATTTGTGGCGCATATCTGGACCCAAATATAACATTCCATTTCATGAGTTACAACCTACCTCATCTCCCAAACCATCCAAAAAAAACTCAAATTTACACGTTTCATAGGAACAGAATATTAAGAGTAGGCGGTGGCGCCGCTGTTCGAACAAAATGTCTCTCATAGCATACTGTTTGGCGTATGCCCGTCTTCATAAGCTCAGCCGGAGCAGAACAGAAGGATGTTAAACCCCATTTCATTTCCTTTATATCCCTCAATTATGTCGGAGGTTTACACATTATTCTACAAATTATAAAATAAAACACAAATTTGTGGTAGTGTAATAATGGGCATTATAATTGCTAGTTATGATAGTTTAGTTTAGGGAAATCCATGGTGGCTCACTAACCAAAAGACTACGGGTTGGTTCCGTGATATTCCAGTCTGGTTTCTGAGGACTTCGAAAGGACAAAGGCGTGTAGTTCTGCGGATTGGACGAAAATCGAGATCTACAGTTGGCTTGCACGGAACAGAACTTTCGAAAGTCTGGTTTCTGGGGGCTTCGAAACAAAAGGCGCCTACTTCTTCGGATTGTACGAAAACCGAGATGCACCCTTGTAATCGTTCGCGTGCATGGAACAGAACTTTCGACAGTCGTACTACGATGCAGTAGGCAAAAACGCCGCTCTCTGTCCAAAATCTCCACATGGACCACTGTATGGCGCATATGCCTCTCTTCATTATCCCTGTTGGTTCAAAACAGTGGGACAGTTATAAAATGTATGATCTCTATTAGTATTCCAGTATTTACGTCAGGGATTATTACATACTAAACTTAGACTGCATGTCTACAGTTAGCTCCGCTTGAAAACAGCCACTATAGGCTAGTGGACCGACATTTTAAAGCCTACATCGATAATTCGACGATTTTAGTCAAAAACACTGAGTATACTTCGAGAATTTTTGTTAAGTATTCTTTTTTCTTCCGTTTAATAAAATTGAAAAAGTTTATTTAGTCTTTGTGTGTATGGCAGATGTGAAACGGAGTAGAACCGCATTATAAAACAGTATACTAATTTTTGGATATGGCGGGCATTTAGCACAGAGATCTATTCTCGAAGTATGAAGTAGACAGATCTCTGTGTGCAGAATGGGATTATTACATAAGGGTAGCACTAGAATATAACAGATCAATGAGAAGAATGAGTCATATTATCAGTAAAACCTATAACTAGATTATTTTGTATATGTATACATGATTTGTATAGCTAGATTTACCCTAGAGGTTTTACCGCTAGACGTTCAGTGTACGCTAACATTTATTTAGACTGTATCAAGCGTGTGTTTATGTCGGGTCTAAATCGGCTTTTTACGCCATTATTAAAGTAAGTCCAGATGAGAATTATTATTTCATACTGCACAATGACCGTGTTGTCCTGACTTTCTATTACATGACATTTCTTCTGCAGTAAAACATTAAGCGATTTCGCATGTTGCGTGTGCTTCTAGTACAGTTTTAAAACCAATATGGTATTGTGTTTCTTGTAATGGCATTTTACAACCTGTTCAAGAAATATGAACTCTAAATATATTTCTTGTTTGTCGGTGACCAACTTGTTCTATATTTGATCTAATTATGAAAACAAAAAACCGAAAATATTTCAAAGTGCTTTTAAAGGGCAGTATATATTTTAAGCGAAGTCGATTGAAAATATGCTCACTAATTAGTTGCACCTGGCAATATGTACCGATGAGTTGAATATTCTTAGTTCATATGAGGAGACAAACTGTGGGAGCCATGGTGACTCAGTGAGTAAAAATCTTACCCACCAACCAAGTGGTCGCGGGTTCGACCTCGGGGTGGTTGGCATGGCATGGGTTCCCTCTGTCGGTGGGACAGGACGGAGGGCATGGTAATTAACAGCGTCAGTCACCGAATTGGACAAACAACAGATGCAGACACCACTGCCCGGGCAAAATGTACGCTACAGCACACTACATAGCGTACACCCGTCTTTATTTGCCCAGTTGGTGCAGCAAAGTAGGACGTTAAACCCCATTTCATTTCGTTTTACATAGTGAACAAATAATTGTTCAAATTTTGCGTACAAATTTCATTTTAGAATAGATAAAAAAAACTCTGCCCTGTGCACAACGCCGAAAATTAATGTCAAGATTCCAATTAATAAGTAATATAGAAAACATGAAGTTGAGAAACGGGATGGGGTTATATTTTGTATGCATGCTATCAACTATATTTAAACAGGAATGAATTAAACACCAAAACAGTTTCATATTAATGTTATATTAGACAGAACATATGTTTTATTCAAGGGCATAACTAGATATTGGTCGTCAGTTTGTCGGCAAAATGATCTGCGCAGATTGATCTATAATTTATCAGATGAAAGATAATATCCATTTAATCGCCCGTACATCCCATTATATGACATAATGTACAGTCATCGTGTATATATAATCATACCAGCAAGGGAATAACGTTAAGACCAACACGCAGAACAGCTTGGGAGGTGACATTTGCAATCCCCCATACAGACTAAACTAAGCAGAGTCAGGGTACTGTGGGTTGAACCTAACTAATCCGTTGATCCTGCAGCTATATATAACATAAGTAGGTATATTAATATATTGTAATTGTATACCTCCCCCACTTTGCCCACACAGAACACGTGTAAGAAGTCCAAGCCACAATATAATTCTTGGTGTTCTATTAACTCTTTCTTTTCACAGACAGATTTCAGTTGTTTTGGCACCAAGAGAGTGTAAAGCGGGTTATTTAGGTTCGTGTATTTGTTTTAATGGTTTATATATACATATACACACACATATATATATATATCACTGACTTCTAACCGGTGTGTTTGTGTAGTTATTAACTACAGACATATATAGGTACGGAGGTTCCAGTCGAATACAATAACGAAAATCATAGACAAAGATGTACATGTTGTATTTATCTAGATCAGCTTATTTTATATGCATATATAATTTGGTAGAAACCCTTAGTGATACCTTCGAAGATCCACACTCGTCATTTGTAGCGTTTGACATGTACTTATTTCACATTTTATTAAGAACAGAAAAGAATAGCAGCGGTAGATACTCTTTCGGCTTGGATGGGCAAATCAAAAGATTTTAGCGAAAATTATAGGTGGCACTGTCTTTTGTTGACAATATCCCATTTATATTCACCAAAGCATCAAACCTCTATAAATACTGAACGGAACGGAACCATTTTGGGGCTGATATTCCTTTTAGAGATTCGACATTTACAATATTTTGGTTTACTAAAAGTAACTCAAATGACGAACAGTGAATTATCTTATTCACTGGATTCTTAAGTTTGTGTCTTTCTTGTACGATGTAAGTCGTTGTTCAGTGGTAACCAGGATCGTTTGTTGAGTCTGTGGTTTGTTTTGCAGTTTTCGTGCATTGCATTGGTCATTTTGCTACTAACATAATAATATGATGTTGTGTTTTATTTCAGTAATTTGATTTTGCTTAGGGGTCTTTAGCCGTGCCTGGAAACCGAAGAACCCGGATAAACCCGTTTGACCATTTGACCACTTAACCCCCATTCGTTGGATGTATATATTAAGCGTTTAATACGCGACTCCAAAATCTTCATCTCACGATCGTATCTGTCCACCGGAAGGTTCACTTGTCTAATCGCGAGCGATTTATCCGGCTTCTCTGTCCCCACCCTCCCATTACTTAAGAGTCTTGCACTTACGCTAAATGGGCGTTAAACACAATTTTTACTTCCCCCGACATGTCAAGAGAAGCAATATGGGGAAACTCAGGCAATAGTAAATATTTATGTGTAAACCATCTTTTTGAATATCATATCTTTTTAATCTTCTAACATGCAGATTAGTTTAATATACCAGCTGTAGTGGTACAACAAGAACGCTATGAACCTGGAGTTCGAGTCTACAACCTTGATCCTCGGTTAATTCTTATCTTAATTTAGAAATGTAAAATTATGTCTGTATCTTCGTTAAAATCTTCACGTGTAATGATCGGAATGTGAAGGGACATAAAAGGGTCGTAAAATTATTTTTACGACATTGATAAATTACGTTTTATGACTTTTTGTTTGAAACTGTTATGATATAAGTTGATTTTTATGAAGTGGTTATGATAATAATAAGATGTTGCACATACACTAACCCACTCTTTATTACACTCCTCAAGTTTTAGTATTTTACCTACAGCCTTCAGTTTAACTCCTTGTTTCATTAAATAGGCACGTGGTTAAAGTGATTCTGGGTTTACCTTTAGCGATAGCTGGCTGATAACTAATCAGATGATTTCGGATTGATCCAGGTGTTGGCTGGATGGTCTGGATATGAAGTAGTGTAGTTGTTCAGATAGTACGAAAAACCAAAGGTTCATTCGTGTTTTACCTGGGATTTACGTAAAAGAACCACTGACAATTTGAATTCGATAAAGAGTATGCGGAAATGCCGGTGCCTGGGTAAACTTTCCCACATAGCACACTCCACAGCGACAGCGCATGCACGGTTGGTGCAATCCGTCATGTCTTTTTTAATCAAATGTTCCGTTCACACGTAGTGGGCGATTGTCCGTACAGTACTACTTACACGGGTTTATATTAATAATTATTCGAAAACTAGACCTTCTAATATTTAGATTTTTCCGTCATTCTCTTATTAGAATCCTTCGTTTATCAAACTATTTGCATTCACAAGCATAGGTTCGATTTCAGAAGGGGGAATTCTGGATTTTAACTAAGGATTAGTCCGCAATGAATACGACAACGTAAATGTCTTGGTTAAATTGTCTCCGACAAATTGGTTTCAAAAAAGAGAATTTCAGAATTCACTTTAAGTTTGAGGCAATTACTATCTATAGTTGACTCTACACTTCAGAAGCTATATTTTCTCGTCATAAAACTATTTCAAGTATCTTAATTATTGCTTAATTAGAGTGGTTTCCCTTTTTCGGTTATATACTACCCTTGTTCAAACGAGAACTGTAAATATGTCAACAATGCAATTCAATATGCCAATAGTTAACACGATGTAAAGCAATAGACTTAGTAGTTGTCCGGCAATCTGTGAACGGTTTCAAGTGGACATATATTATTGGATGGTTTAGGTGTAAATATAGCCAACCGTTGCCCGGTACAAAGATATTAATGGCGGATAACTATTAATCTTAAGAGACAAAATACGTCATCCCGTACGTAAGTAAAAGAGAAAAAGCACGATGTTTATTTGAGCGGCGAATTAGATTAATCTCGATAAGAACTAGAATAATATGTATTATTTAGATTACATCAGGCAAGTTTGACAAGTTTGTACTGAGTGGTACTGCATTTTTAACAAACTATAATGTTTTTTTGTTCTCGTCAGGATTGTTTTCAGGTGTTTGGGGCTTTTAGATAAAAGACAACCCTTTCGCCCACTATAATTTACAGATGAAATCGTGATTGATCGAATATTGATTAAATGAAATCGATAATTGTTCCGAATATATATATCTTTATATTTAGCGTCTGATTTACAAGACCACCCCGGGTGTATTTCCGTTGTAGGCCTACGTTAAATTTGTCACATTTTCGTATTTGATTCACAATTAACGCCGACACATCCTTGGGACAAGCGTCATTCTAATTGGCAGATAAGTAAGCGCCATTATAATTGGAAGATTGGGAATATATTTTGAACGACGTTATTGTTATATAGGGTATACCATACAATAAGCTAATTACTCGATCAGATTTCGTAGTTGTGGCAACCCAACTACTGAAAGCAATTATGAAATATTACTGGCGGGAACAAATCTTATATCTGGTGTCATTTTTCTTTATTGCAGGAAGCGAGGGAGTGACGGTTGAAGTGTCCCCGTGACGTGTTACAAGAACACTCAGAACATCACCAAATTAATTCACAGCTATATAACTCAACCTTTTTGGCACTGGGATCAACGATAGCAGTTTCAATGCGTTGTCTTTCAGGACACCACCCTCCTCATTAGAGGCGACTGATACAGCATTTATAAGGAACAAGACTGAAACTCTACGGCTATTGTCATCAACGTGGATGTATATATACATATGTCGTGTTAACGAAACGGTGGCCATTCGTATAGTGAATATCTACAAGGGTAGTTAAACCATTATACCCACTCGTGTGTTAAAAAAAAGCATCAACAACATCATCAGTGTCATTTGTTTTATTATTTTGGACTTCAGTGGTCGAAGCCTTGTGTTTTTTCTACCGAGTAAGAGTGTTAAACATGCGGTCTTCCCTTGTGAAACTTTTATCTGTGATCAATATTTGTTGGACCTTGTTTAGTGTGTCTGTAGGGGAACAATTCTTCTTACGAAGAGATCATCTTGATCAAATAAATTATATGAGGAGAACAACAGAAAACGTCGTCAAAAGTCAGGACGATGCAGAGGTAGGTAGTTTGTTCTTTATCACCAGATTATGCGTTGGTTACTTGCGCTCTTAAATCCCCATTCTCAAATATTTTAAAATGTATGTAATAGAATATCCATTTATAGTAGTATGGCTCATGATTTTCCGGCGTGGTTTCTCCATGTCAGTCACACAGAACTGGGGGCTTGGCAAGTAACAGTGTCAAGTTGATCGGATGGTACGAAAAACCGGGGTCCCCTGTACACATTGACGTGCACGTAAAAAACCCTTGAGTGTTGGAATTCGAAATAAGAGTAGGTCGAAGTGTCGCTGTCCGGGCAAAATTGATCGTCATATCACACCACTGAAAGGCGTATGTCCGTATTCTTTAGTCCAGTCGGTGCAGAAAAGTAGCACGTTAAACCCCATTTCATTTCATTTCCCTGTGTATTGCGGGTCTTCTTGCACTATTATATTTCTCTCCATGAATCGGAATATCAACCAAATTTTCGGAGAAGTGTCTATACTTACGTAAATCAACGACATTGTTTTGAATCATACATTCAAAAAGAATATCCCTTTAGATTCACAGGAATGACAATAATTCGCAAATATATCTTTATTATTAAAAAACCTAAGAATTGTTTTAAGTTTCAATGAATTAGTTTGCTTCGTATAAATTCAGTATGTTAAATATTTCAAGTTCTCAAGAATGCACTTTATTTACACAAACTGATAAGTATGTAGGTTGTTTTAATTTCCTTTTTAACTTCATACACCTATTAGTTCAATTACTTTCAAATACCTATTTTTAAATGGCACGTTTGGAACTTTACAAGTAAACCATTACTTTATATTGTTTTATAGCAGTACAACGTTTCAAAAACTTACTTTTCCCTATATTGTTTCAATAGGTTTTGTACTATAACAATCTTTTTTGATATTTATTCTGTACTAGCAGAACATTGCTTTACTGTTGTTGTATAGCAATACCTTTTCCCTATTATTTCATATATTTTCAAGGTTATTTTTACTATAAGATATATTGTTGATATTTATTCTGTATTAGCAGAACCGTGCTTTAATATTACATTTGTTTCAAAATGTTATGTTCACTCTATTATTCCAATTAGTTTCAAATACTTATTCCAAATGAATGAATGAAATAAGGTTTAACGTCTCCATCTTCTATTTATTCCTAAAGGATAACTTACAAGGTTTTGTACTCAGGGAACATTTTGGATATTTATTTATAGCCTATGTTTTCTTAAAGGGTAGAATACAAGGTTCTGTACTAGCAGACTCTTTCTTTATGGTTTCTATTTCTGTATTATTAACACTTAGCACCGCTTTTCAAAAGGTTATTCTTCTCACATTAGTTTCAAATACGATTTTATACAACTTGACAGGTCTTTTCTTTATAGTTTTTATCCATTTCTTTAACAATGAAGATGGAAAAATAAGGTATTTTTGAAACACGCTGAATGAGGTTTAAATGTAGTTTGTGTCCCACTAGGAGGGTAATCTTATTAGACCATTGTTCCTATCCTTAAAGCGTTGCATGCGAGGCTTTGTATTTCTATATGCATACCAGTATTAACCAAGGATTTAAAAGATAACATGTTTATTTTAAACCGTTTATTTTAGATTTATTATGCCCATTAGAAAATCCGTTTATTATTCTTTCAATCATCTATATGATTTCGTTTCTTGACTCATGATAACGGGTTAGGACCGATTGTTCGCCTGGTACTCAATAACCAAAAGACACCCCAAAAACTTACACTGATCGTCTATGTGACATTTGAAAGACATTTTTGGGAAAGACCGTACATTCTTGGGAAATATTGTTGTAGACACTTAGGCAGTATGTACGTCATGTTTTGTCATCTGAGAAATACCAGAATTGTAAGTTTACGTAAACGGCATTTTATGTTATGAAAATATATGGAAAGTATGCAAAACAATCCTGAACTTTAACATTCGATTGTAAACTATTAGGTGTAATATTATTGCCTCTGCTCTACGTTATTATATTCCCTGTTGGGTTAAAACTGGGTGTATTTCAAGGTCAAAAGGACTATGATACTCTTGTAAAACCATTGATATTTCGAAGAAAACAATCATGAAAAGAAACATTACGAAGGTGAAGGCGTCTTTATTACCACACCAGAGCGATCTAGGGACATGGACTAATGTATAGTAAATATTATATATGTCCTTCAACAATTGAAACATCGAAATAAACTTAAGATGTATGGGATTTGTTTACAGATTATCTAAACAATTTAGCTAAGTGTTACAATGTAAACTTAACATTAGAAAATATCATTTCCCGATCCAGAGAGAGAGAGAGAGAGAGAGAGAGAGAGAGAAATGGGATTTCGTACTTAGATTGCCCGTGGTGGGTCGTTAGCAGTAGGGGGGAAACCGGAGGACCCGGAGAAAACCCACGAGGTTGGCCAGGCAACCATATACATTATTTGTCACGTACAAGTGTGGAATCGAAACCACGCCACTTGATTCAATGACAGACCTTAAGATATAAAGTATAAGCGTTAGACCACTAGACCACCCAACCCCCCGTAACGCCAATGCGAGATCATCCAGTGAAGATGTATGACGATATTGCTACCTAATAGCCTGTAATATCTTCTTTTCTAAAGAATATGACGTAATCTACATGATTTATGATACACAAACTCTCGTTTTCAGTCATAAAAGAACAAATATCAATGTAACAGAATGTTTTGTCAATTTCGTTAAGATTGCATTCTGGAGATGTTTTGCTATAGGAGTTCGTGTGTAGGATTTGAGTGATTTGTTAGCCGATGTGTTTTGTGCATTGTCTGAGTTGAATCATTCTGTCGTCTGGCTTTATAGATGTTGTGCTGTTGTTTTTATTGGTAAAAATACCACCGCGATTTCCACCTGTTACTTCACTGTTATAAAACTACCCACCATGCCAACAAGTGCGCCAAAGTTACGTCTAAATCCTCGTGAAATATGAAATGTAGGGCTGTAAAAACAAGTAGTCGTCTACGTAGCCTTTGATGTAAAAGAAGAAAATCGGTTCATTTTCTTGATGATGTAATTAGACGTCATCGGCACTGCTTCTTTCCCTAATGACATAATGTATAGTGTTTTCGTTTAAATTTCTGTTCGTCTGTTAAATTGGTATTGTAATGGTTTTTGCTACGCCACAGAAATATTCTTTGAAGCGTTTGTTCTGTACAAATAATGGTTTTAACAAAAGTTTTAGAAATCACTTCTAACGTTATGTTACCTTGCTACTGACATATCTTGATATACAAGACTATTTACAATTCGCGTGGCGCTAATTTGTAAAAAAGAAATGATAATATATATGTCTCGAGGTTGTATCATTTTGCGATATTGTACTGCATTCGATTTCGGTGGTCTGTTGTGTTCCCAAGTTGAAATTAAATTTTCTGTGCATTTTTCGGACAATATTTTCCATGACTCAATAGACACTAAAATGAGCAGAACTTGATTATTTTACATTTGATAAGGAAAATAGATAATCTACCGACTTTGATTCAGTCGGATTAATAAGGGTCCCGCCCACCAAATGTCTCCAGCGAGACTCGTAGGAGGCGCTGCCTTGTTTTAACATTGCCCTATGTATGGTTTGCAGAGGATGCAGACTGTTGGCAAATTTTAAGATCATATTACATATATCTTTGTAAATAGTGATCGGAATTGAACAATAATATTTATGGACTTATATTCAATTTTAGAGATTCAACTTTAGAGACCTTGAACTTTGAACTTCTTTGAAGGAAATGATACAACTGAGTGGAGAAATCCCCGGGAAAGATTACCTAACATACATATGTCGGTACAAATATCAATTGGCAGTGAGGGTTTTATCATATTTTTCGTCATAGCAGCCAGTTATATTATTGCTATTCATCTTTTACCATACAGCATTTAAAAATCACACATCCTCTCAAGTGTTCAGAGGTGCTGTACAAGTTATAGGATATCACATTAATATAATCAAATAAAAATAAATATCTATAGAACCTGAATCATTAATGTAAAACTCTTAAATCATTTGTAATACAAATGTTTAAGAAAATTCTAAATAAAATAATAAAAGAAACCAAATAAAAGCGCCAACTAAGATAGTTAACCTAATTAATACGCTTTTAAAAATGAATGAGTCTTGAGGGACTTTTGAACGGTTCAACCGTGCTACTTAAGCAAAAAACCGTTTTCCATGTTAAGAAAGGTTTTTATACTGATTATATTTTGTATTGAGCAGGGATATCGTTTGTCCATAATTTGTGTACATATTGTCTAATTTGAGAATCCGCGATTTAAGTGTATACCAAAGTCAATTAAAATCGAAAGTAATATATTATTTTTATCAATCTGCAATGGCACACACTACGTTAATATCGCTTCAAATGAATAGCGCGTTCAAATCCACCCATTTAGTCATGCTCAAATACATTATAGATTATTACGACCTGTTGAAATACTTGATTAAATCATGTTGTTGGATACAGTCGGGTTATAACTCATTAAAGTGCAATAAATACATACTTTCTTTCTACTAAACACCTATATTATCAAATTTAAATCGTAAATAACCTGAAATGGGTAATTTCATTTTTTAAGTTTATTAACAAATAAAATACAGTTGGGCATAAGCGTGTAGGAGCCGGGGATGGGGGGAGGGGGGGGGGGTCGTCCATTTTTCGGGCAGTGTATTTCGGTTTTTTCGGGCACAAACATCAAAGAATGAAACCATATCATAGAAATAAATTTGTATAGTTGTCAAATGAAATCGCTAGCGGCTTACGTTTTGAAAATTCGGGTGACAAAGAAAATTTTCGGGCAACTAGCCTCGCCCCCCCCCCCAAGCTCCCCAACTGAGATTGGCCCCCTATGCCTATGCATTAGGACGACAAAGAATCACTAATTTAATACATTATAAATGTTATATTACAATACTGTAAAGAACGAGAACAGAATTCGCAAAATACGAATGTTAGTTATTCTATACAATATAGAGATGGAACCAGACCATCAAAAGCATAGTCCTTCCGTCGTGTTCCCAGCTGTTGTGTGGTGGTTATTTGCTGACTTTTTAATGTCGAATCGACAAAATACAGTATGTTTGCAGGGCGAATATGCATGCGTAAAGACATTGTTTACGTTGAAATGTTCGCCGGCTAGTTACATGGTTATTACCATGCTACTTCCGGTTTGTGTACCTAGAAATTCCCATGGTCATAAACAAGACGTTCTTCCATTTGTGGTAGACAAATTCAATCAATTAATGTCTTGCCGGTCAGATGATCTGATATCAAAGGTATTGTCTCGTGTGTGGTTCCCCCCTTGTCAGTAGTGCGGACCCGAGGGCAAGGAACGGAGCCTACGCAATCGGTTGGACAAAAATTGAGGCAGCGCAGGTCCTGAGTACACGTTGGCGTATGAGTAAAATAGAGTTGTAATTCGACGAAGCGTACTTGGAAAATCAACTATCGGGGCAAAATGTCTCTTATGTAGAAAAGTAAGACATTTAACTCCATTTCATTTTCATTATGGTATTGTTGTGGTCGCCTGCCTAACCTTGTGACTTTTGTTTGGTTCCTCCCACAGCTAAGGAGGTCTGTGCTTGAACGAAATAATGATTTATTGAAATAACTGAAACATACGAGCAGAGAGGAAATCCTGTCATTAAATAAATAGAACAATACAACTAGTCGACATTTTTTTTCAAGATAAATAAAAGAAAACACAGCCTTTAAACGTTATTACGATTTATTTATTGGCGACCTAAGGACGGTCGAAACCTTCTATAAAGGATAATTATTTCATAATAGGAATGATGAAAGTCGAACCTTCCTCTACTAATATACTAATAATATTTGTTTATATTCATTAAAGAAATGAAATGGGGTTTAACGTCCTACTTTTTTGCACAGACTAGCTACTGAAGACCGGTTGTAGTGTGCTGCCCGGACAGCTGCGCTACGGCCTAATCTTATATCGAATTCCATCTGTCAAGGGTTCCTTTACGTGCACACCAATATGTTCACAAAAACTTGATTTGTCGTCCAATCCCAACGACTAGATCCAGCATCACTGACGAGCGGAAACCACGTCGGAAAATCCACGAGCGAACCCAAGACCCCTATTCATTAAAGAAAAACAACAAATACTTAAAATGGTTTTATAGAAACCGTTATATGGGTTTATCACTGCTGCTTGCGGGACTATAAAATTATTATCGGAATTTTAAAACATTTTTTTAATGCACAGCGTGGAATATTTATAAATAAAGATACGTTTTTATTGATATTATACAAAATCTCATTGAAGTTGATAGGCGTTTAAACATAGACCCGATACTTACATAGGAGATTACCTAATTACCGGTGTCTATATCTTTATATACGTGTTTTTATGGGTTGATAGGTGGTATAAGTTTACCGTTATGGGGTGTTGGGTGGTTTGAGTAGAAGGTGGTCGTACGTTTTATTACAAGAAACGCCTTTAAGTTCACAGATAACGGCATTTCTTTATTGTAGATTTGACAAAACATTACGACGGCCGCAAAAAAATGAACACGGTGTTATCAGAATTATTGGCAAACATTAAAATTCTCTCGATAGGCTCAGATTAAATACATGTATTATTATAAACCACATTAACTCGAATATAATCCAATATGATATGAGTTTAAAATTTTCAAATTTTCGAAATCTAATGAAATGTCGTTTGATTTCCAACCTTTTCGCACCGACTGGGCTAATAAGATAGGCATACATCGTACAGTGAAATTAGGGATATTTTGCCCGGACAGCGGCGCTACGGCTTACTCTTATATCGAATTCCAAAGGTTATTTTACGTGCACGCTAATGTGTACACGGCATCTTGGGTTTTCGCCCAACCCCAAGGACTAGAAATTGTACCACTGACAAGGAAAACCCGTACCGAAAAATCCCGAGGAACTTTCTCGACCAACATCGATACCGCCTGGTTAGCGAACTAGAGTCTTAGTCAATGAGCCACAACGGCTTCTTCAAAATGTCGAGAGAAAATCTGATTTAATACAATATGTTGTCAAGGAAGAACATAATGAATTTCTCCATGTGTTTATGGTTTTACGAACGATTCAAGTTAGTCGACAATAATACAATTGTGGTTGGAGGTTGTCTTTGAAATGTTTCAATGGCAGACAGCACAAGTGTTGAATGTACCTAATGAAAAGAGGAAGTATAGCTAAACCTGCTACAAGGCAATATTTTCTCCATTCGTCATACAAATAAGAATAAAGATTCCACTCATTATATAGATTCAAGATGGTTGTCATCTTGATTCTATTACAAATAGTTCAAATTCTTCATGCATAGAGGTCAGAATTTTAAATGAGATCAGTTTAATTCTTCTCAAAACATTGTATTTTATACAGTTCTTTCCAATTTAAATTAAAAACCTGTTGATCCAATGTACTTTAAACATTAAAAATTCAAAAATTACATAAAATTACTTTCTCTTTTCAAGAACATTCAGTACCATATTTTGTTTTATGGATATAACATTTAGTAAGGTACATATATCTAAATTGAATGTGCACTTTTTTAATGCTGACTGCAGACAGTCATTTGTCTTTCTAGATTGCCTCCAACAAACAGATGATGCTATTCTTAGCTTGGTGGTATATTTCTTGGTATAAATAATCTTATTCTTAAGATGCAAATAGATCTATTACTAGATTTGAATTATTCGGGTATATTTATGTTCCTGTGTGGTATTGTTACATTATATTTTATAATGGCTTATAATAGAAATTTACTATAAGAAAAAGGGCAATACAATAAAAGCAATAATTGGGTAACAGCCAAATGTTTACAAAATACGGGTTCAAGCGATTCATAGGTCATGCTTGTCTACAATATAAACCCGAAAATTCTGTAGCCAGCCAACTCTGATACAAGATTTAGAATACGACATATGTTGTTAATCCACTTCATTCACGACTTGCTTTTTCCGTCAAAAGACTTTCCACAAATAACCACTAGTTTTTGGGCCAAGAACGCTGCTACCCGTCTGTGTGTTTCTTATAGTCTATTCTTGGTTTGTTATTTGAATCGCCTCCTGGCGGTGTTATTTAGACAAAAATAAGCAACTTGTCTGACTCTTCCCTTCCCTCTAACTATAAACCTACAAACAGAACATCAAGAACCGTTTCCGTGCTTTATATAGTATATTAAAGAATACGACGACGCAGCATAAAGAGGCAGTGATGAACTACTTCGCCGTATGCTTATAACTGTATGATCAACGTTTGTTTAAACTGTAAACTTTGTATGCTGTCTATAAAATGTTTTCGGTGTTTAAAAAAGAACTTGTCGTTCATGCTATAATGGTTAAAATAATACGTAATGAAAATTGAATAAGTTGAAATTTTAAGTCAAGTGTAATGCGCAGTTTCTGAATATCCATTATAAAGATATATTATTAAATGGTGCCAGTGTTCTAATCCATCTAATGTCACGGCCCTCCGATCGCCTAGAGAATTGATTATTGGCTTGTCCTGTAAATAAATGCCTAATTATTGAAGCTAGCCCAATGAAAAACCAACCTGCAATAGGCAGATTTAGCTCTGACTTCATGCAAATATATAAAAAAAAACCCAGACAACGCAACCTAAAAACCCTCATATCAACCATATAGGTAGGAGAAAAAGAAAAGAAAAAGTTAACACACACTTAACAAAAAACCCCAAAAAATACCCCAAGCTGAAAACAACCGAATATGGAACAAAACTTAGAAAACGATCCTAGCCCCCCCCCCCCCCTAGAAAAAAGAAGAAATAATAAAAAGACAGCCTAAAAAAAACCCCAAGAACCATTGCAATACAGAAAAAATATCTCTTAAACAGTCTGGCCTTATATATCCTAGCTGACAAAAGGATTCCCTTGGGGTGAAATATTTCAAATGTGTTTTATCTTTGTTAAGGTATAGAGCGGTGCCAGAAACATTTAAAGACGTAATTTCTCGTATATTAAATGACTTAAAAGGATAAAACTATCCCCAGAAGTGCGATGAATCGGACTGAACGTATAGTCATTATTTCATTAACATGATGAATCATACTTGTTTCTCTAAAGGGCCATCTCAGACAAACAGATATACTACAATGTAAAATAATACTGATAGATTTATTTTCCCGTCACTCTCTCTTCACATGTTATATGGGGACCGGTTACACATGACTAAAATAACCCGGTTAAGAATCACGGCGTGTCTCTATAAGAATCTTCGGGTCTTTTCAAGCCCCGCCTTCACTGAATATGAGGGGCGGGTTCCGGTGTAACTAACCGCAGAACGTCGCGGGGGATATGCGTGGTTCTTCCCCGGAAAGTTTTGAAAGTTTTGAATCGATTTCCTTGCATCTGAGGCCATTCCTGAAGCAAATATAGTCTTTTACATGTATGGGGGCTCTCCTAGACTCTATCCTGAGTCCTGGGGTCCTAGTATACGACCCCCCCCCCCCGCGCCCCCGAAACGCGCTTGGATATCCAAGGCGGGTAAGGGATATTGCCGCTATCTGCACACAGTTGTCTTACTGTCCACGTAAACATACAAATGAAAAACATCAAATACCTGTTTCAAAATGACCGTCGTATTGCCCTAACGAGAAATTAGACCTCATTCCTTTCACAATGTATAGTACACAGCACGGTTGACTTCTGAATTCCAAGTCCAACCGACCAATTTCTTTTTTAGTATAGTACTAACACATTATGATGAAATTATATATTATACTAATTAATTTTAATTTTTCGTCAATCTGTTTTCAGGTGATATTAGAAAAATATGGTTACCTAAGTTGTAAGGTGTCTCGGCGGAAACGGGATGTGGGGAGGGTACACATGTTGCCGGGGTATGGGGTCAGTATGACAGAAGAGGGGCAAGGTCGTCAAGAAGCGTGTGATGATTCCCAAGTTGAAAATGCCATCAAGGAATATCAAAAAACTTATAATTTACGTGAAACGGGGGTATTGGACGAAGAGACTAAAAGGCTCATGAGTACGACGCGCTGTGGCAATAAAGACACCGAAACAACAGTTGTAAAAAAGAACACAACAACGCCGGACACTGGACAGGAAGTGCATAGTAGTTCTCAAAATCCCGCAGTAAATTCCATATCCAAAGAAAAGACTGACACGGAGTCGAACGATTCCGGTGCACCGTTTCAAAGGTTATGGAAACGTTCTGTGAACAATAATAAATTATTTCAAGTGTTAACTAGAGGAAAGCGTGAAACATTCTTACAGACTCGAACACGTATACTGAACGAGTATGTGAATCGGATTAAGAGGAACGATCCGCTGATGAAACAACCGTTAACGCACGAAGAACGCAGTAAACGGTCAGTGATAGTGAATGGCAGACGTAATAACGAAACGCACCAGCCAACGGAAGATGAGTTAAAAGCGAAAGATCTAATTTGGAAGAAACAAGAAATACGTTGGAGGTTATTAGAAACGGGATACAGTACACACATCCCCGTGGAGGATCAGCGAGCAACCATTGATTTGGCATTCAGGATGTGGTCCGAGGTGACGCCCCTTAAATTTATGGAGGATATCGAAGGTGATATTCGTGATGTGGATATTGAAGTGGCGTTTGGACGAGGTTTGTATTTAGAATGATCTGTTTTTCATGATTTAGAATGATCATCGACGGTTTGATTAGGGGGATAAGACATTCAGATATAACATAATTATGTTACATATACCCTTATTTAAGGCCCAAAGTTCCAGATTTAAGAGTCAATACAGTTTATATCAAACACAATGATAGTGTATTGGCCCACACGGCGACAAATCGACCAATCCCAAATTAAGTCCTGCCCATCTAAAGTTTAAATAACTTTGTTTCTACACCACCACCATTATTGACTTAAAACTTAAAATCATTATGCAACAGTTAAGTGACAACTCATTTTCATCACTGAACATCGAGGTCAAGATGTTGCCTAACTTAGGCGGGGTTTGTTTTATGGGGGGGGGGGGGGGATAATCTAAATTACTATCAAAACAAGACCTTTAGTCGATAATTTATATACGGTTAGTCATTATGGACTGGGGCATTGTAGCCTTTCTGACATTTGTGTCGTTTCGTTTAATGATTTACATTTGCTTGAAAAGCACAATAAGAAAGCTTCTTCTTATATATTATATTATACAAAGTAGACCCCTTCAAAAGGATGTACTTCAAGAAGACAATTAACAATCGAGGATGCATCAAAAGGGATAAAAATCATATCTCTTAAGTACGTGATGTTGATATTTGATATCTTATTTACATCGTAGATCTTATATAACGACATTTGAAAAAGATTGACAAATACTAAATAAACATGTACTTAGTACAATATTTTATTTATATATAGATGAATTTTGTCCTTGAACAATATGTCTACCTGTTTTCCCGCGTACACCCAGACTATACATTATCTAGAGCCATGTTCAGATATATTGTAGGTATGGAAACCATATATAAGAAGACAGGTTTTAGTCCCACACTCTAGACTCGGTTTCATGTAATATAAGACTAAGGTTTAACGTCCTGAATTTCTGCGCCAACCTGACTCATACAGTACAATGAGAAGAAGTGTTTGCCAAAACAGCGATGTTTCTTTTAGGCGCACTTTAATGATCGATGACCTCATTCTTCGTCCTATCCGAACGACTGGGCCCATTTTGTTGCCAGGCCCTCAGTCCTGCATCACAGACAACGGGAAGTCAGGCTCGACAAGCCTGAAAAATAAGTAAAATAAGTATTATTAACATAAAAACTCACTTGATATTATATTATATTTAGTTAAACCACCCATTCATCTTATTACCTGGGCATAATCCCTCCAAATAAATAGTAGTTTTAAATGGTCAAACTTGTTATCATTAAGGCCCACACACACCCCAAGGATGATTTGTCGTAGATTAACAAGAGCCATAATCGATTTATAAACTTATGCACACGAACATCGTTGGCTAAACATAGAACAACGGTGTTCAGAAACAGATTTTGTCAATAATGGAGTAGATTTGCCATACATCGAGGGTAATGAAATGAAAAGGGGTTTATCGTCCTAGTTTTTTGCATAGGGGATGAATAGTCGCCGTCAAATAATCTTTCGTGTGCACTGATCCCTTCACAGCTGATCCTTTCGTCGATCACACGTGTGTTCTGTTATGTGACCATGATTAGGAAAACCTTAAACGAAGGTGTTCCACAACTGCTTTTTTTCGCAGCTGATCTATGCTATTAGTGTGTCCATGCCCTTTTAAAAGTGGTTTCTACGATTATTTTCCATATCCCTGTTGCTCAGTGGTACAGTGCGAAACGGGCATGATTATGACACACGGTTGAAGATTACAGTCAAGTGCTTGTCAAGACTTGTTTCAATTAATCTTAATCCAGTTTTACTTTGATAAGCGGTTACGACAGTTTTATCACCTCGGGCCTGTGAAAGATTACATCTATAAATACTTCCATCACAAGCCTTCATATTTGCTTTAATGCGAAAATATTAGTGCCTTAAAGCATCAAACTTAATAAGCTTAAGGAATAGCATCACTGAGTGCATACCGTGTTCTGGGTGCATATTCCAGGTATGCACATATGTGTATAGTTTGTCTGCGGGCAATGAGTATATCATTAGTTAAAATCTTAAGAAACAAGCCTTAGTACACAACAAAGAACATTTCTTTGACAGACCGTATGTCAAAAATTGATAACTTCGTAAGTTATCCTACTGATGAATAATGGTACACAGGTACACTAGAAGATCATGCTGGACTTTCTGATTAATTAAAGGTCTACTCTTTGCCAATCTACACTAAAAGAGATGTGCAATATCAGAAGACGTTGTTCTCTCGAAATTTAAGTTTAAAACTGGGAAACACACTATTGCCAAACATAGGAAGGAAAGTGACTGCCAGCAATGAATTCGCGGTTGGTCTTGATGATAGTAGTCTAACGTTCTCCAAATATGTGTATACGATTGCATACATTATAAGAACAGCGGCATTCATTGCATACCATATTATTGGAATGGAGTGACAGTCTTTTAACCAATTCATAACAAATAATCACTGATTATGAAACGATCTGTAATTCTCTTTACCCTTATATTCAGTAATACTTGATAACATTCACCACATACCGTGCCTTTGTTTTGGAACGGGTGGGCTCATTAGCCACATCATAACCACTGTATATATATTCAGCGATCTCCTTTAAAGTATTCGAAACTACGGCTCGATATAAGAACAGCACGTATTCAATAATGAATCATTGTTTGGGAATGATAATCTTATTGTTCGCTACATATTTTAATGTATTATACATATTGTTCAAGAATGCAGTTAATATGCATTTTTGCTGTCAGTGATGGTTATTTATGACATTATATACTTTTACGTAACTTCTGATTAAGGTTTCGAATAGCTCTTTATGTACCAGGTCAACTAAACTATGTTTTCACAAATAAAAAAAAGATCAAGATACTTTCTCCGATTCATTTTTTATTGCGTGTTCATGTTTATATATAATAACATTCCGCGGCAATTTTTTGTTAATTACATATTTCAAGACCTTTTAACCACCGTATATGTTTTTCGCACAGAAATGTGTAATAACAATACTTTTTGCAGTTTGAGAAGATACGAACTGTGACTAGAATTTCATAAATATTAGGTTCTACATGTAGGTATATGCGTAACTCATACATTTGCTTTGTCTGTCAAATATTTTTACCTTAATGAATAAAACACGTATTTGAATAAGATCCCCTAAAGCGTGTTTAAAAGATAGTTGGAAAAAACGTGAATTATAGGTACTAACTTTTTATATGAAGTGAATGAAATGGGGTTTAACGTCCCGCGCTTCTGCACCAACCGGGCTTATGGAGTGTTAGGAAGGAAGTTTTGCCTGGACAGTGGCGTTTTTGTCTACTCTTATTTAAATTCCAACTATCAAGGGTTATTTTACGTGCAGTCCAACGTGTACACGGGAACTCGGTTTTTCGCCCCATCCGAACGACAAGACTATGTTTCTTAACAGGTACACCGTCCTGCGCCACCTAGGTACTTTCTCGGCTCAACAGCTGGATCGAGCCCGAGATCTTCTATTAGTGAGCCAGGGCCTTACACACTAACTCTGATCGTTAGCGTATATCCTTGTTTAACATAATGTTAGATACCTTTGTCTACGATGGATGCCAAGTACAGAAATATTCAACCTGTTTTTCTGATACTTTTTTTTACCCTGGGAATACAAGACCACCGTGTTAGATGCAGACAAAAGGGCATGTTGTGTTTGATCCTAAACACGTCAAAACATTATTTCCAAGGACAAAATATGTTTGGGTTTCGTAATATGACATAATTATGTTTTACCTTAATTATAATTATAATTATAATGCTAGTTAGGTACGAGTAATAATTCTGGACCTTTTCTCTATTATATATCTTACAACCGAATATCGCGTACACCATGGTAATAGAACAGCTTTATCTTTTCGTTTCGTTTTAGTTCAGTTTTGTTTACATTATGATATGCAAGTTTGATTCAAACATTCTTTGATGTTGTAAAAAATATGGTGAACTCTACGGTCTTAAAGTCCATTCTGAGTATGTATTGTGTGTCAAGGGAATTACCGATGTCTTAAAATGTCTTTATTATAATGAGCTTGTTAATCTTAAACGACCATTTGTATATAAAGCCGCTGACTGTCATTTGGGATCTTTTAAGTCCCTTGCAAACTACAATATTGAGTATATAGAAGGAATGTCAGCCCAATAATGGTTCAATTTCGCTCAGTATTTTCAAAGATATACTGAATTCGGCATTATGCATCCTCTTTAGTCGGCGTCATCTAAAAATATTGGGTAATCTTTTTTGAAGCGCTTCTTTTTAATTTGATTGAATTCAGGTCGGGGATGATCTACCGTTGATGCTGTTGCTTTGTGTTAATTAGATGTTAAATGATAAATTTATATACATTGGTAAAAATTCAAATTATTACTTATTACATATATTATAGCTTTGTTAAAGCATGATCATCATTAGCTTACACTTTCAAGAACACCTGAAATCACTTATCATCATTTTCCCCTCCACTTATCGATCTCTATTCTATTTGCAGGAGCTCACGGTAACTGTCAACAAGATTTTGATGGAAATGGAGGCGAAGTTGCCCATTCATGGGTTGGTGGGAACATGCATTTTGACGATGACGAAAACTACAAATCGATTCGTACCTACCGTCATGATGGAATATACCTACTGAGAATTGCTGTCCATGAAATCGGTCACGTGCTTGGATTGTCTCATACCAACAAATCCTTTTCAATTATGTACGCCATTTACAATAAACTAAACTCCAAACCATCGTTTGAACTGAACCCATTGGACAGGAAGGCTGTCCAGGCAATCTATGGTAAGTGTTAAGTGTTATGATCACCACCTACATTTAATGTATTCCTCAAATAATGTTAAAAGTCTAATGTCGTTAGAAACAACGGATATTGATTCCAGATTAGTATTGATTCCAGATTATATTGTAAAATACCAGAATAAAGATGATTTAGAATTAAAGTCAAAGTTTGCAACACATTATTTCATGTCAGAAAAAATCATAAAACGAAATCCTAATACACACACATGACTAGGAATTTCTGTCGATCAATCCAGAAAGTCTTTACATGGCGGAACAAATGGCCACATTGGTAGCTTTCATCTATTAAAGTAAAGAAGTAACGTTGAAAGAATGAATGTAAAACTAATTTATGCGAGTATCTTTTGTTTATTGGTTTATTACATGTCATTATAAATGAAAATAAATCAGTTTATGGGCTTTTATCCCAAATTGTATTTTAATGGAATATGACAACTAATTAATGCATAACAAAAACTACGAAAGGGGGTGTTGCGTGGATAACTTTAAGTTGTATTATTGTTCGGCAAATAGACTATGTTAGATAGTTCTCAATAACTATCCATATCTGTAAATGAATTGAGAATCTTACATTTTTGAAACACTATAGCTTGTACGATATGTCTTCATTGATGGTTTAACCAATTGTGTTACATTTTTATGCTATAGGTGTGTGTAAAGGCAAATTCAGCACTGTTTTAGATTGGGTTAGAAAACGACCTGATAATTCTTTCATCTTCAACACGTATTTCTTCCGTGACAACCATTACTGGATGTACGAAAATCATGCCAACAGAACTCGATATGGAGATCCACTACGAATCGCGCGGGAATGGAGTGGAGTACCGAATCTTGTTGATGGATATGCCCATATTTGGTACATTACTGGAAACCAGATGGTCGATAAAGCATTCTTCTACAAAGGTAAATATATTGAACATCCTGGCTCAGATGTTGATATTCAAAGTTTTCAGCGTCGAATACCATTGGATGTCTTTTGGTTATGACGAAACATCGAGTATACTTAAATAATATGGTGCACGTAAAACATATTTTTTTTTAAAAAAACGTAAGCCTAAGAAAATAATATCAAAGCATTCAAATCACACTTGCGTTTGTTCAGTTTAAAAGTTCCAGCGAGACACATAGGTTCCGAAGCTCTTCGTCTTCTTTTTTTGTGGACAGTTTGTTTGTTACCGGAATTAACCGTTCGCGGTCGGAACTTGATTTGTCACCGAAATGAACCGTTCATGACCGAAACTTGACTTGTCACTGGAAAGAATCGTCTATGACCGGAACTTGACTTGTCACCGGAATCAACCGTTTAGAACCAGTACTTGATTTGTCACCGGAATCAACCGTTCATGACCGATACTTGAGTGGCTTGTCACCGGAATGAACCGTTCTTGACCGATACTTGACTTGCTTGTCAATCGTCAATGACATAACTTGACTTGCTAGTCACCGGCATCAACCGTTAATGACATAACTTGACGAAGCTCGCTGGAAATCAGTGCGCTGTATTAGTCTTAGTCTCAATGAATTTACGCAGAGTTTTCTTTTTTTACCAGAGTTGATTGGCATATGCTAAAATATACAGCAATCTTGTAACCTCAATGTTAATGCCAATGAAGTGAGACACGTTATCTCTGTTTCAGGGGAAGACTACTACGCCTACAATAGCGAAACAGATTCAGTTATGGATGGATACCCGAAGAAAATAAAAGATGATTTTGGGCCTATGGCGGACCAAACTGAGTCTATACCAAATAATATTGACACGGTGTACTTTGATATGAGAGATAGAAATCTTTACTTTTTCAAACACGATATGGTAGGTTTCATTCAGCTTTAATCGTGATTACAATCATTTTTGAATAGCTGGGCCAGCTACATTTATCTTAAAAAGACCCAAAGTCCACCAAGGGATTGTGGTGGCACATACCTACGCAGAAACGGAAATGTGTTTATGACTTACATGATGTAGAAATCTTACATTTATCGATCAGTTCTCCTACATTGCAAGCGCAACTATTCAACAAGACAACTTTAATAGATATGTAACAGACAGTCCAGGACCCGTTTGCTTTTTTTCCACCCGGTTATGGCCAAACACGCTACTCCTCTGTTAATAGAATTAACAAAACTTTGTTGCCACTTATAATTTTAGCGATATTATTTTACAGGTTTACGTCTATGATCCAAAGACTGAAAACTTTACCAACGGATGTTGTGTGCGGAAGCGGAAAATTGTTGAAGAATTCCCTGCATTGGAAGGTGAAGATCCTTTACCAAATGACTTAGATGCTGTGTATTACTCTTATAAGGACCAAGCTATATATTTCATTAAAGACGAATATGTTTGGCATAATGCTTTGTTCAACATTGGACAAAAAGTGATTCAAAATGGGGTGAAAAAAGACGGTTTGTGGTACAATAAATGGTTTGATATCTGTGACATTTGAGGTGACCAGAACCTAAAACTGTGATATGTTGTGGGCGAGAGACAGAGAGAAGGGTAGCTATGCATTATAATGGGTTGTTCAAATTTTGGTCACAAAATTTATGATCGAGTAATTTTAGCCAATCATTTGTCGACTGGATATCTTATGCTATACGGTTGTTGTCTATGACATCGACCAATAACATGCCAGCTCAGACAATCCTAAGAGACTAGTGCTTTAAGCCGACGGCGAGGGAAGGTCGGAAGTTGGGTTTGTTCAAAAGGATGTTGAATCTCAGAGTATTTAATGCTATATTGCCGGTTCTATTTGATATAGTATATTTGTATGTTTTCGGTACAAGAGATTTGCTTTCGTAAGAATTGTTCATGTTTTTGTTTGTTACTAATATTCCAATGTTTATATGTAGCGCATTTACCGTCTTCTATCATTTTTTATATTTAAAAAATGTAGAATTCTAGATATTTTGTATGTCCTTCTTATAATCAACTTATAATTCTGCCAGTAAAATATGTTTTATAATGTATATAAGTATGACTTGTTCTTTGTATTTAAATGTTAAAATATAATTTATGTTGATATTACGAGTCACACAGCTTCGTTTCTTTACTGGCCATGTTTTATAATCATCAATGTACTTTGAAGTCTGTCATGTTTGTGTCTGTAGAGCTAGTAAGTTGATTCTAGCCTATTTCTTATAACAAGTTGCTGTCAACAGCATTAACATATTTCTGAAATTTTAAATTGCGACACACTAACATTTTGCATTTAATGCCTGACCCTTACTGCAAGGTATACGCCTAGAATTGCTTCAACAATTTTGCCGAAGCTGGGTTACTAAATCTTAGAAAACTTAACCATATTTTTTACGGGAGGCAATCGGGGCCTTGAACACATCAGGGCGGGGCGACTTAAAAACTATATATTGAATTCACGCATAATTCAACCCAACCCGTTGTCAAAATACAAATTGCAATAATCGAATTCGGAAAACAGCAACACGGCTTGTCACATACATTTGATTAATTGTCAGTGAAATCTCTTTTTAAAATTACAGAAATATTTTTAATGTGTAAATCTATATTATTCTTACTTATCTCTTATAACCAATTATTGACAATAGTTTTTGTTTGTAATGAAAGACTAACATTTAGTTATTATAGTATTGGTTTATTGTATCTCTACACATATTGTTTAGTTAATCAAGTATTTTGTATATTATAAACGAGTTATTATTCTAGTCAAACAGTGGTTAAATAACCCCTTGTAAACTATTGAAATATACTTATACTTCAGCCGAATATAGATTTACTTGACGCCATTATAAGATACGCGACACGTATTTATTTGGGTGGTGTTCATCCCAAAAACACTAGGGTTGTTATCTGCGGAGACCCGGTTATTGTTTACGGAGATTCTAAATTGTCAGACCGGAATTTTGAAATTTGACTGATTAACAGTCGAGTGACATGGAATTGAGCAACGTCCTTGTTGTACATGACGTTAGCAAACGATTTAGTTTAGAACGTGCGCATGCATTGTCGCCGGTATTTTCGTGATTGCTCGATTGACGTCTTTCGAGTGAATTCTGGAACGTTCAATCGCGTATCCTCGTGGTCCATTTCTAGATATGGTTGTTTTATAAAGACCTGGTTATTGCTTCTTCAGTATCAATAGATGAATAGCCCAGGTTTTGCCAAGATGGGGTTTCACTTTTATTGTTCAGAAATCCCTTTAACTATAATGACTTTTATTGAATTTAGTAGTGAACAATTCTGATCAATTCACCAATTACCAGGATCTGGACATAACATGTCGTGCAGTATAAACGTCTATCTAGGCTGTTGAAAGAAACTAAACAGATTTATGGTCAATCAAGTACATCAGAAATGACGCATTATAACCCAATATGTGACAAACGGGTATGTGGGAAAACAATATTAAATAGAAAATGATGTCCCAGAATAATTACATTTAAAGAGCTACGTAGTAATGTTGATAAGAATATAGTAGTTGAAAAAAAAATCTAAACTTCAATACTAAAACTATTGATCTGTTCAAATAAGTGTCAGATCTATTAAATCTATTCGTGAACATGACCCCATTGATCCGTTTAATTAAGTGCCAACTCGATTAATCTATTGACCCGTTCAATTAAGTGCCAACTCGATTAATCTATTGACCCGTTCAATTAAGTATCAGACCGATTAAATCTGAACATCAGTACAAGTAATTAATTTATTAACAGACCGGGATACCTTTAGACAATAAGAAGAATAAATAATTACGTTTGCAAATTCGGGGTTGTGATAATGTGAAAGGTGATTCAGGTGGTGATGATTCGGACAACACTGAAAATAATAAAAAAGACTTAAAAAAAAGAGAAAGTGAAAGTAGGGACGTTTTCTAATCATTGATAGAAATAACATTTGTAATGAAATATACACTTGAAATTTAAATAAATTAAAAGGATCACGCCTTTTTAATTCCGGTACTAAATATGTTAGGAAGGCCTTAATCTGGCAAAAATTAAAATACAAGGATAAATAGTGGCTTTTATTCAATATAATGTTAATAAATGGACAGGGATTCGACATATTTCACGATTTGAACGACAAGTCTTACTTGTTCGTGCCATACACTCGTCTTTATCTAATAGGGCAACATTAATGATAATCGTTTTAAATTTACATGATTTTTTCATATGTACTTACATTAATAAGGAATCTTTCAGCTGATCTTTCTCGTCTTGTTGAATAATAGAGAAGTTTTATCATCTACATTGAATCTTCTCAGCTTTAAAAAAACCCCAACACATTTCATATTCTTTCTTCTTAACATTTTATTTAATAGATTTTTTAGTGCTCAAACATTATTGTCATGTAGAAGTAAATTATCGTTTCATGCTCATTATTCTTAAGGAACATTATAGTCCGAATTGAAATAGATAAAAACATAGGTAAAACGCTTTTTTACGATTTATTCATACTGTGTGTACCTGTTTAACGTTGTAGTCCCTTTGTGTCTAAAGTTATATTTCGATAGGTGTTTTATATATTCTGACATTTATATTACATATATTCCTTGCCCCAGCCTCCAATGCTACCCGTGTTTCTTTAATTATTATTAAATTAGCTTCGATCCCCAAGTCCTAAGTGTTTGAATTATTAGTCGGAACATCAGCATCGGTTGTTTATACAGCATTAAAAGTCAAATGGTAATTTCCGGACGATTACTATTTGATCGAAAGGAAAAATAACCCTCACATTTTGATTTGTTGGAAATCGGAAGAATGCATTTTTTACTAGTGAATTGGGCTACCTTTTGCCATAATGCATTGCGGAACCGTACACGGGAACAGACGGAAAACAAATGGCCCTTTTCCAGATAAAATTGAACCTATTGTTCCAGATAGTTTGGGCTGGGGCGATCGACACTATGTCCCTTATTTTGTGTCTTCTATGGTGCTTTCTAAAATGGCGTACGCCAATCAGTTTTCATACACTGCTTTAGTAACAGTTTTCCTACACCGCTTTAGTGAATAACTGTGTTTTTAAATCGCGCATAAAATAAATTAATGTTTAATGGAGATGTAGCCTTCGACATTTTGTGTTTTGTAAATAATGTTTTTGTAAATCATTGGGCTGATTTTGTATTATAACTACGTCATAATTACCTTCAGCTTTGTAAATAAGGCAATAACCAAAAATAACTATGCATTGCTTTAATATTCGTAACTTATATTAAGGGTAATTACTTCCCTTTTTTGATGTATGTTGTGTACTTTTTGTGTCTTGTTAATGGTATATGTGTATTTAGATTTTCTACCCTGCATTCAGAAAAAAAATATATTTATTAATACCCGCTTACCTTTTACATTGACACAGATAAATAGATTACAGATGTGCTCGAGTGGACAAGAATCAATAAACTGCGCATGTGATGTTTGAGATAAGATTGCGCATGTGCTGTATGAACACTTATATCCAGACACCACGCAATACGGCCGATACAAGATACCAGAGAGAGTGTCATTTCCGGCAAATTTTTCATTATAATTGTAGCTAGTTTTCTTGTAGTTTTCCATGAAATTTGTCAATAATTTATTAACTGTTACGTTTTATATATTTTAAAAACTTGTTATGTGTATATTTTATAATGTGATATTTATTTCATTAGTATACATATAATATAACTACTGTGTAAATGTAAATATACAATGACGTCACACAAGGTGCGTGAAACGACATCATTGTTCGTGTATTATTATCAATGGTTTCGTGCATCCAGTGGCTTTCGTCATTAAATTGCACTTAATAGATCATGTACATCACTATTTATATTGCCATGCAATTTTCTTTTCCATTTTCGTTGAACATTTTCTGTTTGCATCGCTCTTTTTTTTCATGTACGTTACAAAATGTGAGAATAAATGTTCGTCAGTTACTGGTTAGTTATCTTTATGGGTTTCTGAAATGAAATGAAATGGGGTTTAACGTCCTTACTTACTTTCTGCACCGACTGGGCTAATGAAGACGGGCATCGCCGTGCAAGGAGCTATGGGGGAACGTTTGCCCGGACAATGGCGCTATGGCCTACTCTTATTTCAAAATTCAATTATCAAGGGTTATTTTATGTGCCCGCCAATGTGTATGTGGGAACTCGGTTATTCATTCCATCTGAACCACCAGATGCTGTGATTTGCCAGATCTTCCGTCATGCGCCACTGCAAAGGAGAGACTACGCCGGATAATCCCTCGGAACTTACACGGCAATCACCGAGCGCAAGCCCGAGACATACTCACTGAACCGCTGCGGCTTACTTTGACAATAGTATCCCTCGGGAGGGTGCCTTAATTGTTCCACCCCCTCTAACCAAACACAAATCATGTTATTAATATTACTCGGCCATCTCTCCGATAATTTATAATATCTTAGACCCTTTGTCTGTGTTTATCATTTGCTCTGTCACTATATATTGGTAAAACAAACCCCACAAATAACGAAACAAAACACAATTCTAAACAATAACAAAGGTTTCTTTTTCTAGACCTTCTTAGTTCAAGAGAACCAGAACTTGGCACCAGTCAATGTTGTACGTTCAGTTTTGTACGTTTCGATGATAATATTTCGCCGAGAACCAAAGAATCTGATGAAATCCCATCTTTTTTTTCTGGCATTCTATTCTGGATTTACCTTTATATTTCAATGTTTTAGTGAACTTCCCGAAGCACCACACAATACATGATATAGTATTTATAAATCACAAGTAAAAATTGCACACGATTTATTTGAAGATCCGGTATATAAGAAAGATCATAAAGGTGGCCGATTGGTGGAGTCCGATTTTTTTTATAATCCAGTCACGAAGAGATAAAAATAAAGAGAACAAACAAATTTGAGTCACATAGCAACAAAGGAACCGGAGGCTGGGAAATGTAATGAAATGAAATGAAATGTGTTTTAACATCCCACTTGTCTGACCCGACTGGGCTAACGAAGACGGGCATATGCCATGCAGTATGCTACAAAGACATTTTGCCCGGATAGCGACGCTATAGCCTACTCTTATTTCGAATTCCCACGGGGTTCTTTTACTTGCACGTTAATGTTTACATGTGCTATCCGAACGACTATGCGTTGTCCCTTGCCAAGTCCTCTGTCCTACGCCACTAACAAGGGGGAACACGGCGGAAAAATGCGATGAACTGTTTTGGCAAACGCCGGAATCGAACCCGAAACGACCTGGTTAGCGAGCGGACGTCTTACTCACTGAACCACCGTGCCTCGCGAAACAGGAGACTGGTAAAATACTTCACGATTTCATAAATAATTTAGTATGTCATTAAAACCACACATATGACTGATTCATGGTGCTGTTTTACGTAGAATAAGCAGCAGACGTACGGTAAAAAATACTGTCTTAGATTATATATCTACAAGCAGAATACAAATTTGTCTCCCCTTATTTATGATCAATGCAGACAGGGTGTGGGTCGGATGGTATCAAAATCGGGACAGCGACCAACAGAGCATTTTTAGTATAGAAAGCAGTGGGCAAATTCTCCACTGCTGTCAAAAATTACCCCACTGCGTTGCAAAGAAATACAGAAGCGGTTGGGCAATACCGATGATGTAATGGGACATTACGCGCTTTTGGTACTTTTTCAGACAGGGAAAATAGAAAATTACGGTACAAATCACGCTTGTAACACAAAACGGAGGGTGTTCACGATATTAACAACCTCTCCAGAACCCCTATACTCCAGTACTAGAAAGTCCTTAAGAAATGAGATAGTTGTATCTATTTCTATCGCTTCGTCTCTTTTCATCCCACGCCAATCGTTTTTTCTGTAATCTGTATACTATATCGGATCCTGATAAAATCGTTTGGGTATTTTTACCCCTAGTTTGTCCCCATAAGAAATGGTTCTTTTTCAACAAGTAAAACAGCCACGATGTACCAGTCATTATGACAGACCGAGCAGCATCAAACATAATCTTATTTGGGAAGATGTTGTAGGGATCGTTTATTGAGATAAACTAGAGGAAATATTACCAAACATTTACACCGGGATCCAATATAGTATAAATATTACAGATAATCCATTTGGCGTGGGAAGAAAAGACACGAAGCGATATAAATAAATACTTTCTCACAGAGAAATCTATTTGGGTGTCTGAGTCACAGAGCACAAAATATATATGCCAAGTGGTAGGTCGATGTCCTGGTTTTTGACATTAATCAATAACATTTATAATTGTTGAGAGGGATGTACCGAGTACACACCCACACTGTATCCCCATTCTCTCCATTGGTCTTAAACAATATTCTGTGTATGGTTTTTTTTATAGAGATTAGCAGTTTTCACCATAAGCGTAGATCTAGTGCTAGATGGGTGCCTAAATCATTATTTCACACTACTCCCCATTCCGCTTGTTTCTCTCAAATATTGTGCATATATTTACTTTTAACTTCAATAGTATTTTACTTATCCCTAGAATATCCGAACTTTGGAGTTCTAAATCTTGCTCGTGGTTTTCAATCATACAAATAAAAATCAGTGGGCCAATGATTAAATGTTAAAGAGCTAAAAAGTAAAAACCCCGAAGCATTGCTGAAGTTCAGCTTTATTTGGCGATAGTACTGACGTATATGGTAACCGCGACACCAGCAAAGGAAACTAGTTCTTACAAAAGTTCAATATGTCTACCTCTTAAATATACGAGATATTACATAGGGTTGTCTGGAAAGAGAATGTGGGCTAGGTCATTTGGATACATTAAAATTATGGACAAAAGCACCACCATGTAAAATAATGCGTTTTTCCTGTCTTAATCATTGGGGCCGAACTCATATATTCGTCTCATTCCTGGACGTCCACAAAGGTTCGTATCTGAATACAATCTAAGATTCATGATCGCATTATGCAAGGCATTCTTGCTGCACTTCATACGACTCACTGGCATTATAGCATTGCTCCGATGAAATCACTTGGACCCTCTTAACGTCCTGTAGAGAGGTATTTTGTCCATTTTAATGATTATTCTAGATAGAAAAAATCACAATACAATCACTTTTCTATTTCTGATTCGGTCATTAATTCGGATGCAGCCATGGTTCCAGATTGAAAAAGACATTACTTCTCCAGTGTGGTCTTAAAAGTATCGCTTTTCATATAGCCGTTCCACCTAGTTGAAATACTGACGACGTTCATGGTATGGCAATGAAAGGAAGCGCTCACTCAGACATACCAGAATAGATTGTATTTTAGTATTTTAAATATTTGAAATCGAGTATAATGTTTTATTTTAACAACGCCCTTGGTTATAATTAAACATTTCCGTGGATGTATAATGCCGCCATGTCTGACAGTTCGTCAATCACAAATAGCAATAAAATCAATGCTCTATGCTGTATTAAACAACCACCCACAATGAAATATGTCAATTAGACAATACAACAGACACTTTATTTCCTTTAATTAATTTCCCTTGTCGATACGCATTTTTGTCAAATATGTTTAAAATTCCAAGACTGCATTAGTTCCAGACGCGTGGGCGAATATGAATTGCGTTATATTCTGCGATTCCGTGCAGAATACATTTATACACCGAACTGGGACATAATTCTTAGTAAGCACAATACTTAGATCAATTAAATTTGTTTTAAAAATCTTCTAGAACTGGACGAATTTCATTAAAACGTCTTAAAACAGATCCTAAATAATATATTATACAAATATTGTTAAAATCATATTTCTAATCAACTGTATCATAAGGTCTGTCATTCAGTCAACTGGTGTGGTTTCGATTTCCCGGTTGTACGTGACAAGGAGTATGGTCGCATGTCAAACCTCGTGGTTTTTCTCCCGATTATTGAAATGAAATTAAACCATGTGTTAGTCCCGAAATGACCTAGTTTATGTTAGTTTGTGTTGAGTGGATGTTAAACTCTCTCTCCTCTACTATAAACCACCCGATCAAATAGTAAACCTTCAGTATATTCCACCTGAGTTATCTACACCCTTGTCAAACGATAAACCACCCTAACAAGCATAGCTAAACCTCCACTATAATCCACCCGATCAAAAATTAAACCTGCCCGTCTAACCAAACTTCGCTACCTGAACAAAAAAGACTAAATACCAACTGATATATTAACAACCTGACCCCCCCCCCCCACAGGCACACTATAAAAAGCAGACAAAAGCAAACTACTATAAACACATAACAAAAAGACAATCAAATTGTATACCAACGTTAATATAAACTACCAGCTAAAACAACTAAGCTACCTGATAAAACCAAATCACTGTAAAACCACATGATAAAACCCGGCACTAAAAACCACTTGGCAAAACCCCCTCTACATATCAACTTATAAAACACAAAATGTAATCCACTATAAACCATATAATAAAACACACTATACACCATATAATAAAACACACTATAACCACTAATAAAACTGAGGAACAGTCGCCATATATATGTACTATGTCACGCACATAAATCAAATTCAAGCATGCATTTCCAATTTCCAATGATTTTCGCAAGATCCTCAGTATACGCATTTCTTTTTTATTTGCATGGATTCATAGATCTTTTGCTAACTGTTACTTAGCATGTAACATAATTTCGCATATCTATTCTGACTGCATTTATTTATGATCAAAGCTATGGAAGTCAGTCAATGTTAAGGACATTCTTCAGAGCTATATTTATATGTTTGTCGTCGTGTTTGCTTCAGCTTCTCCGATTTAAGAGAATATTTGATAATAATTTCAGATAAGGTGCTAAAATTAATAAATCACAGATGAAAATAGCCGCAGCGACACCATTTCTCCTATATTAGTAACAGTTAATGGATATCAAGTATATTAGTTTCGCTCTTGGTCTATCCGTCAAGGAAATATATAAATGTCTAAGTATAATGTTGACAA